TTTAGGCGGATATTCCTTGAATATAGAGTTGTAAAGTATATATCTTTTCCCTTCAAAATGCTGAAGGGATAAAATAATTACAAACATATTTCATCGATGTAAGGCACTCCTAGTAAAATCTCTGAATATCGTTCAGCCCATGTTGGGTATTGAAACTTCATTCAAAATAATCAGCGGATTTTTCCATAACTGGCTGTTTAGGAAATGAATTCTGAATCATGAGACTATTTTAGGCTCTCAGCCTTTCAACTTTATTTGAATCATGTACTTGGAGCATCAAAGTCCTAATGTTTGCGAATGGCATAAAAATACGAAGACGCATATAAAACTATGGTGATAAGCTAAAATTACAGGAAGATTTAAAAGATCTGATTAAGTGGACAAGTAGATCGTTAGTGGGAGCGAAATTCAGTTTATGTGCAGTCATGGAAACAGTTCATTCTTACTGCGTGCATCACTTCACAATGGACGGGATGAGTCTTTCCGAAATCACAGCTCATTAGGATTGAGGAAAACTACAACAACTGTAGTGCAAGCTATCGTGACGACATTCCGATATTTTTGTGAATCCTTGTAACATAAAAGCTTGGATGAACCTTGGATGCACCTTAGCTTACACCTGTTATTCTTAATGGAGCATAGGCCGCCGACTAAAACTCTCCAACCAACTGTGTGCTGAGCCTTTCCATTTCTACCCAATTGCTAGTCATTCTCTGTATGTCTGTCTCCAATTCTCGTAGCTTTGTGTTCTTTGGTTTACCTCTTTTCTTTTGGCCTCGACGGTTCCAAGTTTATGAAGTTATAGTCGGTATATTAATTTGGACATACACAATATCGCTTTTGGAATGCAATGCTCAACCGCCTTAACTGTTTAAAATCCAAAATACACATTTTGAGATGGTTTGTGAAGCCGCGGATAAAAATTGTGAAACATTTTACTAACCAACATACTGAAATATCCCAACCTATTGTTTCTGTCTTAGCGTAGGTTAATAGGTGATCGAATATTAGTTTAAAGTATACTGAAAGATGGCTTTGTATTGATATATTTCATTCATTTCTTCCAGTTATAACTGATAATCCACAGACACACTCTTAGAAGGGTCATAAAAAGACCAGATAGTTCCAAGTCATTTATGGTCATGAGTTCCTGAAATTATCTACCAGAACTTGAAGGCGCAGTACATTATTCAGAAACATTTAAACCAAGCTTTGGCACTGTAAATGCCAAGGGTTAACACAAAATACGTAACCCTTTATTTTTATTGAAGGCTTCTGGACAACCCTACTGTTCTTCCTGAGTTGTTCTGACGTGGTTCGAAGTGGTGTGGATGCTATGTTAAGTCTAAAGATATTTCTTGAGATTCCATACACTGTAGTATCATTGCTTCCTAACCATATACTTCTTGTATTCGAACATATAGTACCAGCAGTTGAACAATTGAAAGCAAATAAAAAGTCTATGAAAGATAATTTGGTTGGGGTTGTATTAGTAAACCGTACAGACCCCTCTCCTTCTGCTCTTTACATAAAATATTTTCTTCTCCTAACTTCTTGAATGTATCCTGTAACAATTCTTGGAAGGAACACTGCTAATTATTGCGGTTGGACGAATCAATATGGATGATTGCGTCATTTCGGCTTAAAAACTCATAGATAAGGCCATTAAATCATGACAGCTCTAGAATATTGAATCAGGGTCCATTATAGTGGAAGGATATACGAGTGCATTATTACCAGACGAGAACTAAATCATCTCATAATCCACTGTGGAACAGTGTGATGAGTTCTTCTTAATCTATATACTATAAAGTATCAATATCAAACGAATTGTTTCTCATGTTTGTATCTAAGCTTGCAGAGATGGTAATTAGACATGGAGAGCTGCGCATGAGTTATTATCTCACTGAGATCAGGATCTAAAGCTTGAAACTCACTGGGACGATATATGCATCTTATCTGTGAATGTAGTTTCGTTCTCTATCTTTGCTCATTGCCCTATTCTTTATTGTTAAGCTGAACAGTTTGCTTGTGATCTGCTATGATGTAAAGTGTTTTAGGCACTTTGACACATCTTGCTTACACTAACCACTTCATATTCTGAACTGTTTCGCAAGCAATATCAATGCACAATTGTTTTACTCCTTAACTTTGATTGAAGCTATTGCAGAGGAGTATTAGATAAAATGAGATAAACTGGAGAAATTATATTTTTACAGCCATATGGCGGTCTCGAACAGTTAAGGTTATATGCTACCCATAATTATGGATAGACTCTGCGACAGCATATGCTTTAATGTATTGAGCAATCCCATAAAGAAGCGACATTTGGCGGATCATAGATTATGACCCTAGTCCTTTTTGTGATGAAAGTTGAATCTACGTCTCTCGTAAATGATGAAGAATATATGTCTCTCCTATTTGATATTAACACTCTGGAGAGGGCATAACTCTGCAAACCCAGCTATATACATATCAATGTCGCATTATGAAGCCGCAATATTCTTGAGACATGGTGTCTTTCTCTTACTTCTGTGATTGTTTTGATTTATCAGAGTTCAAGAGAGATATTTTTGTGGCTCAAAAACTTATGGCCTTTCAATGAACCCACCTTATAGTTACTTAGGCAAGTACCTATAAAGAGTTTCGTAATCTATCCTCCTAATACTCTGAGAGGCGCAGATATACATCCCTCGACCATTGGTTTCCAGATATGCTTCGTGCACAAAGTTTGTTAATCCATGTAACTTAGTTATTTGAGAATAAATTATTATTAATTAGAAATAAAACGAGTCATAACCTAAAGAAAAACTGGAATGTCTGTCAACAGAATCGGTCAACTCATTAGTCCGTGACTACAAGTGACGATGCATTTTGCATTTGAAAAGGCTTCGATCACTAATGTTTCGTTCGAGTCACCTCTTTCTTGTCAAGAACCTCTGTATACGCAATAAGTGATATGGTCTTCTCATAAGATTAGATCAGCAACCAAGATTTAAGAACGCAGAAGCCTGTAACCAGTATGTTTATATACTTCTTCTTTATGAAAGTATCCGAAAGCTTCCGCAGCTTTCAGAGAATTTATCAAAAAGATGTGACAAATTCTTCAGTAATGCAGTCATATCAATTACTGTTATAATTCAGCTTCAATTTCTCCCTGAAACTTGGAGGCAGGCTTAAATCATAAAGTGATTTAGGTAGTTAAAAGTAAACGAAACGACAGCAGTGTATCCATCCATGCAATTTATTTCACAAGGCTCTGTGTTTTCGAAGTCATAATAATTCATTTTCCCAAGTTCCTTCTGACAATGATATATCTACAAAAATACTGACTAGACCTTTTTGCATGAATGGGTGATCGTTAGGCCTTATATTACTGAACTGATGTACTTTACTCACTTGTTCATAAAACCTTAATCTACACTCTGCCACTCATCATTTGATACTCTGAGTATTCATCTGGAAGTATTTTCAAGTAGGTTGGATAAACTATCGATTTCCTGAACCCATCACATATTTCGGGACTGTTTTCTGGATCAAAGGTGTTGTAAAGATGGAAATCACATATGGGTGAATTATGAAAAGCGTATACCTTATCAGCTGAAGGTTAGTGGACGTTGAATAGTAGAATCCGTACAGGCTGAAATGCTCAGACCTAGAATTCATTTTCTCCAATGTAGTACGTTTCTACAAATCACTAAACTTCGGTGCATCCTTTCAGCCTGACAAATACTTGAGCAGCTAGGAGTAAGAAATTTCATCATACCAAACAGGATAACAAATCTCTTAGCTTATATATTTTTGTTGTTAGTTATAATACAAGGTGCGAATGATTTCCTTAACATCATTAGTTTTCTTCATCATAGTGATAGTATTATTTAATATCGTGGAATTTCATGAAACCGCGACCATATTGGTTTCAGTCCTCTTCTCCTTTCGTTTCATGAGTAATGGATAAAATAATAGGCTACTGATACCACAGATTAGCAAGAAGTGCGATTTTCGACGTACGGAGCATACTTTATCCGTAATCTTAGACGGAAATCAAGGTGTTAGTGCCCAGATTTTAACAAGACTACGAGGTATATTCTATTATGCACAGAATTTTAAACCTCTATCAATTCCTTTTCTGAACAGTGAACGAAGAACTTCGTATATAATAAAAAACTCACTTTCTTTGAAGTGATTCGAAATGACATCACTCACAAACCAGGATAAGTAGATAGCTCATATTTTCGCTTGAAGTAAATCCGGTCTTGTTACTAGCTAAACAAATTTCATACATGACGTAGTTTCCCTCTAAGCGAATGGGGTCCCTGTAAAATTACCTGTTAAAGCATGAAGAACGGTTTTACATTAAGAACAAAGACAAAATAAACATCTTGACTATAATGAGCACAAGGTTTCAGTGAATAGATTGATTAAATACTAGGGGAGTTAGAGAAACGTTCCAACAAGTAAAACGGTGTTTCATGCTCTGAAACAAACACAGGTGGAAACTTAGGACACTCAAATGTTACCAGTATAAAATTTAAAACCAACCGCGTTACAAACTGGTTAAGTGATCAGAATGCATCTAAAACATTATTCTATATTAAACTCATACTTCTGTTAACCACTCGCGTATAATACACTGCTTGCTGTGTGTCATACCTAACTACTTGATAGAAATTGTACTGGTTTTCATTGATGATAGGGCGTCAGTTTTGCTATTCGTTCATAAGTTAAATACGTAGCTCACAAACTTGATTGGCCGTCAGAATATATTTTAAGGACATTGATTCTAAGAATCCATTGGCCTAAAACTTAATGACAACCTCAACGTCTATTTGCTGTTTTCTATGTAATAAAAACTGTCCAATTCCTTACTTTGCCATTCTTGATTGCTGAATACTTTAAGCCACTGAAAATCCCAGCAATTGATTATCACCTTAGTCTCGACCTATCACTGATACGTGCATGTGAGTATGACCCAATAAGCGAGAATCAAGTAGAAGTAGATGCACCAATGGTAAATCTCATCAAGCTAACCTTCTTTTGGCCTACCAATCATTCAGTATTCATGTATAATACATATGTTTTCGAGGTTTTTCACTCATTTTATGCGCTTTTAGTAACTTTGGCAGTGGCGCTTGTTAAAATGAGGTGGAATCCATATTTCGCAACCCGCCCAAAAAAGTTGGTTCCGGAGTTTACGTTTCTCGGAAATACTATTGGGTTGGAGATTTTCTCTTACGATGTGAGTCAAACTATGTTTAGAAATAAATTATGTTCGGATTATACCCTTTAATAAGTGGTTTTTGCACTATGATATGTTTCTGACTGGTCTGTGGGTTTTTACTTCGACATGTAAATATAAGTTTGCTTTGTTTTCCCGTAACATTGCTTGTACTCGTAGTACAAAAACCATAGTTGATAAAAATTCCAAGTGTTCTTTTTGTGGTCCGTCAGTGTTATATCTCTTCCAGGGTATTCTGCTTCATGTGTTTTGCACAGTGATGTTCATGATTTGCTTCATAATTCTACTTCCATAAATGTCCCTCAAGTTTTCTGTCCCTTATGTAACTGTTGACAATGTCGTTTATCAAAACTAACAGACTATATGCATCAATCTTACTTCGTTTCAAAAAGTAAAGCATGGTCAAGTCATTATACCCCTTCATGAAGTTGAAGTCTTGTAGATGCAATATGACACTCGAATATGAATTTGATCAAGATGCATATTGCACCTAAGTATATTATTTTGTTTGTCATTAGAGTAAACGGAAGACAAGCTATTGAGAACTTTATTTTGTTTAGCAATTAACTACTGAATAGTTCGTCCAAAAAAGCAGGTTCTTCGGTTAGGGTTAAGTACATGGTTGTAGTCCATGGTTTGTGATATTGCGAAAATGCACCCATGTTATATCCCCTAAGCAACAAGCGTCTTATTGTTCTACCCTTACTTTTACTTAGTTCTACTTAGACTGCTTTGTTTTACATTGTCATCACTGATGTGTAGTTTAGGTACACCCGACTGCCTCGTCGAGCTGTTTTGTGGTGTAAGAGTAGTTTGGAAGAAAGCTAGGGGCGGCCAAACCAAAACATGGCACAAATCCACGAAGTCACTGACAGGTGGACTGAGTCATGTTGGTAGATGAAGGCTACCTGGTTGGGTTCCGCGAGACGAAAGTCACCAATGGTTAGAGACCTTGAACGACATGGCTCAGAATCGTTTGCAATGGCGCAGGTGCATCCACTGTTTGTGTGCTCTCTAATATTAACCTTCTGAATTCCTCATAATCTCTATCTTTCTCCTTCCATATTTCTCTCACTGAATTATACTTTTCGAATCATATCTTCGCTCCCTAATCTTCTCTATTACTGCTAATACTTCTACTATACTACTATGGGATTGGAATTAACAATTGCGTCTCTGTCCTAATGTAGTATGGCAATTGACCAAATATCTTAAGAGCAATGCTTGCGTTTGACGGTGCCATCAAGTAGATAGTTTGACCTTTTATTGGGTGAAGCATCAGGCACACGACCTATTCAGTGAGCTATGGTTTTTATTGTATGAATTGGTTGGAGGCTAAGGCAATGGACCTATGGAATCACATACTTCTTTTTTAAAGTCCACAACCACTCACCGAGGAAGTATTCACCAGTTAGTTGTCACACCACAACAAACTAGAACTAAAAGTAATGTCTGGCTCATTTCTCGAAATATAAGGTATGTGATGGTTTTGGAACCCAAGATTTGAGGGGAGGTAAAAGTGCATATGTCTGCCTCGTGTGACTAATATCAAGGCATATCTCCTAACAGCAACCACTGATCACAATAATCGCACGAAACCCTGTCTCGTTCACCTGTGGATGACTTCGTGGTCTCATTACTTTTCGGTTAAATCACCCGTAGCTCTCTTATCTTACACTCATACCAGCCAATATCGTATGAAAGCATACCATACATCATTCCTTCTACAACTACGTCTCCCATCGCTGTGTCTGAATATTTACAGATACGCAACGCAAAACCAAACCACATCAACCAGTATGCTCATAAACTCGTCAACCAACTACGAGTCATGTAATTTGGCATAGTAGTGTTGTTCATTCTGAATTGTGTAAGTCCCAGTAAACATCAGATTCTGTAAAAAAAAAACGCATTCCATTCCTAATTTGATTGAATTCAGTCAAAATCGTATGACTGCTTGGGACCAAGTTATTGGGATTGCAAAATAAACACTAATATAGCTTAAGCACACCATTCTACGTTGATATTATTATAGGATATTTCACAGTTATATTAGTCACTATCATTTTAGTGAACTTCTTACATGTATTTCCTCTCCGATAGTGACGCTGCAAGTGTTGGCTTTTTATTATGACGATTTTCTTATTGCCTTTGTTATTTATACTATTTATTTCCAAGGTTATGCATCTTTTATTTGTTATAGGGATGGTTATATACACGCTGGTCAAGTTCTTCCAGCTCAAACTATTCTACAACCATTGCAACAGCCTTTAATAATGGATGCAAACGGTGCTGCTCAACCAACTACATTCGCTGTTCAGGCTAGCGATGGTAGTTTGATTCCAGTTCAACTAGCTACGTCTGCTGGTGGAGGTCAGGTTATCATGTTCCTTCCAAGTGCAGCTCAGCAAACAATCTATACAACTCAGCCTATAGTCTCTGCTGCAACCACCTCTTTGGACGCTAACCTGACGTCGGGCCAGGGGCAGATTATAGGAACAACAGTTGAAGACGAAACGCACTTACTTCAACAGTTGCAGCAGTCTTCACAAGTTCAAGTTATTCATCAGACTCAGTCAGCATTATCTCAATCTGTTTCAAATACTCAAGTCGTTCAGGTCTCTAGTCCACAATCTGAAGCTGCAATCGGTCAGCAAGGAATCTCCACACAAGCATCCGCAACAGTGTCACCTGGTGTTGCTCCTGGGGGCGAGGAACCTCTTTACGTTAATGCCAAACAATACCACCGAATTCTAAAGCGTCGTCAAGCTCGAGCAAAATTAGAGGCACAAGGTCGTATTCCGAAGGAAAGACGAAAATATCTACATGAATCTAGACATAAGCATGCTATGAACCGCATACGAAGCTCTGGTGGTCGATTCTTTTCCGTACCATCTTATTCCGATGCTAATAACAGTACTGCCTCAACCTCTTCCAGTAATTCATCAGCGATAACATCTTTCCAAACAAATGAAGATTGTAAAACTAAGATTTTGTCTAACTGATGTAAGTTAATTTACATTTACATACTTTTCATGCTATTCTCATTCCATATATTATATGTACGAGACTTAATTATGGAAAACGTAGTCCGTCTGCAGAGTTTGCCATATGTATATTTGTAAGTTGTGATCTCAGACTGGCATTCCAATGTTGATTTTATAAATAGGTTCAGGTTTTTTTGGTTTGGAGTGTTTGTCTTATGTTTTCGCATCAGTCGTAACTTTTGTATTTTTGAGGTGATGTTCCGTGATTTGATTTAGTCACTATACAAGTAAACGGTGGTTTTTTCGCGGAATATTTATTGTCTTTATGTTATTGCATTCCTAGATCCTATCTCAACGCTGCTGATTTCCCCGCAAATTCAACTTTTCGACAATCTGGAAAATGAACCACCCCCTTAGAGATTAAAATATATTATTACAACTTATTTGCAAGCTGGAGTACTAAATATATTCAAATTATCACGTGAACAGACATTGCTAACGGTTATGTAACCCTGAAACGTGTCGACATTGATCATCACGTCATTATTATTATCACAACCTCAGTTTTGTACACATCTATTTTCTATATGGTATTTCGTATATTCTCCGCATGCTTGTTTGTAAATAGTTTATTTATTACGACTTGAAACTTTCCCATAAAGTTGAATCTTCTGTTTTAACTTTACTGTCTTTATATTTACGATACTAATTATCTAATTTACACAAAGATAAATGCACTTTTTTTTCTATTAAAAAGTATTTTTCGAAGCCGTTTAATTTTTCTCCTTATACCCTTTACTAGCAGCAATAGTTATATCGGCGTGTTGTGTATAATTAGTCCTACCGGATGGTATTGGTCAACATAATCCGTTAGCTGTAGTAACGTCAATGTACGTAATTTGGGTTATGTGGTATATCACAGTCAGTCAGTTACAACATAGAATTTCGTACGTACATACATCAGTTCAGGTAGCCATACCACTTCAGCACACGGCCGCATTTGCCTATTAAAACCCTATAGTGATAGAGGTAGTAGAAGTTGTCGGAGAGATTAGGGTTCGAAGATGTTATTCAAGAACTATGGTCTAGTGAGAGAAACTTAAACAGAAAAAGATAAAGGTGATAAGGAATTCATGAGGTTATGCTTTGACAGAACACAAAGAAGGGATGCACCATAGCAAACGGTTTTGAGCTATGTCACTCAGGGTCTCTAACCATCGATTACTGTCATCTTGCGGAACCTAACCAGGTAGTCGACACCTACCAGCATGACTCAGTACACTTGTCAGTAACTTCATGGATTTGTGCCACGTTTTGGTTTGGCCGCCTCTAGCTTTCTTCCAACCTATCCCTACATCGCAAAGTATAGCTCGACGCTGCAGTCGGTGGTTAGACATGCATAACACATGTCCCAACCACAATTGATGAAGTTTCAATACTTCATCTATTGATTTGCCATCCCTACCTTGTACTCGTTTTCTAATTACAGCGTTGCTTACTCGGTTGTCTCGTGATACACGAGCAATGCTTCGGAGACGACTATGATCGGAAACCAGCAACTTACGGATATACACTCTGGTTGGCCATGTTTCACAGCCATGAAATAGGACGGAGCTAACTAATGTCCCTACCTTCGTCCTTTTGCTTAGTAGGCGAATATCTCACCTACGCCACAAGTGACGCCGGTTGACAAAAGCCTCTATCCGAGCTGAGGTTTCGTCAGTCACCAAGCCATCAGCATTGGTGATAATAATTAAATAAGAATGGAGAAAGTGGAAATCCCTGACGTACTCCATTTGAAGCAATCAGTTTGAATGACAGTTCATCATAAGCTTATATAAAGTAAATATACTTCTCTGGCACACCTTTTATTGATACACTGCCACAGAACCTCGTGATCAAAATAGTCCAATGACGCTCTAAGGTCCAGGGAAACAACTGCTGTCGGACGCCTGTGCGTCTCTGTTCTAAGACTAGCAGTGAGAAGATGTGGTTTATTCAGCCTGGTCGGTAACCATTCTGGTTCTCTGTAGTCCGCTCTTCACGAGCTATAGTTAAGCGTCTAAGGATTGTCGAGGCTAACAATTTAGACACTATATTAGTCAAACTTATTCCTCTGTGATCGTCACAAGAGGACTTTTGTCCTTTCTCGTACATTGGAGCATTCAGCGGCTGAGACCAGTCAGATGGGAATACGCCCAGTTCCCAGACTCTACCTGAGATCTCTGTCAGCCTAACTGCTAAAACTGGACCACCATCCTTAAAGATCCCAGGGGTTAATCCGTCATTCCATGCTGCCTCGGGGTGGGCGTCACTACATCGCTGCCTAAGCGTCTTTTTAATTGTTCCTGAAATATATTCCTGGCTTTGTCACCAATAAGTAGAACCCTAAGAGGTTTGTTACGTCCAGCAACCCTCAAACAAATACGCGCTGGCACCAGAACATGGTCTAAATCTAAACAAGCGCTCCAGGTTGAGCGGCAGTCTTCAACAGAGCCTCTCCATCAATGGCTTATAGCGATGTTTTCCACTTCGGTCAGCTTTGGGGGTAGCCAGGTCATGAGATGTTTTTCCTTGTGTCTGAAGTTAGTGTTTGCTAGAAATAGGCAATTACCTGAAGCAGACGGTCGCCATTATCTGTTCTGTTAGCCATGACACCATAAGATCCAACCAGGTGTCTTTCCTTTTCACTCAGTCAACCTATTTGAGCATTAAAGTCACCAGCCATTAGTACTATATCAGAGCACTTACTTTTGGAAGAAGGTTAGAGCGGTATCTGTAAAACTCATCATTTTTGTGGTCGAGTGAGAGCCTATGGCGAACTGTCATCGGATTTCTTTATTCAAGTGGTGAACGTCAGGGATGCCCACTCTCTCCATTCCTGTTTAACATTGTCGTAGACATGCTTTAAGTGTTAACTTACTTTGACTTTGCAGGAGTGAACCTTATACCACGAGACACGCTTGTTGATTTAGAGTAAGCTAATGACATAGTCCTACTCGGCTAAGACACTGACGAAATGCAGAGTCTTCTGACTACCCTAAGCAACAGTGCAAGCATGTTCGGGATGCGGTTTTCCTCCTCGAAATACAAAATGTTGCTTCAGGATTGGCCTGCGACGGCACCTGAACTAGTGATAGGGAGTGGCGTAGTTGAGAGTATAAACCACTTCACTTATCTTGGGGTTATCATCAATGCTGATGGCTTGGTGACTGACGAAAGCTCAGCACGGATAGAGAAGGCTCGATTGGCTTTTGCCAACCTGCGTCACTTATGGCGTAGGCGAGATATCCGTTTGCTGACTAATGGACGAATGTACTGCGCAGCAGTTCGGTCTTTCCTATTTTATGGCTGTTAAGAGTAGAAGACATTCGTAGGTTATTAGTATTCGACTATAGATGTCTTCGAAGCATTGCTTCTATATCCTGGGACAACTGAGTGAGCAATGCTGTCGTTAGGAAACGAGTACTATGTAAGAATGGCAGATCAATAGATGAAGTAGTGAAACTTCATCAGTTGAGGTGGTTGGGACATGTGTTATGTATGCCTAACCACCGACTGCTGAGATGAGCTATGTTTTGTGGTGTAGGAGTAAGTTTGAAGAAAACCAAAACATGGCACAAATCCACGAAGTCACTGACAGATGGACTGAGTCATGTTGGTAGATGAGGCTGCCTGGTTGGGTTCCGCGAGACGAAAGTCACCGATGATTAGAGACCTTGAACGACATGGCTCAGAATCGTTTGCAATGGCGCAGGTGCATCCACTGTTTGTGTGCTCTCTAATATTAACCTTCTGAATTCCTCATAATCTCTATCTTTCTCCTTCCAAATTTCTCACTGAATTAAAATTCCTGAATAATATCTTCAATTCCTAATATTCCCGATTACTAGATATTCTTCTACTATCTCTACTAATATGGTATTTGAACTGACAATGGCGTCTGTTTGCTGATGTGATACGGCAACCTGAGCTGATGTACGGACGTACGAATTTCAACGTTAATCCATTAGGTTTAGTATGATTTCATGGGTATGAGTGCGGATGTCACCTCCCGTCTGCTCACACCGTGGAAGGGTTCTGTTTGTCAGATGGGCATCGACCTCGTCTCTTACGAAGGAACTCGGCTTTCTTCATGAGACGTCATAATTCTTCTGAAAGTAAACGTTCTAACTCCTAAGATGGGGTAAAATTTTTGAATTATGTTTTCTGGTTAGCGTTTATTTAACAGGTTAGTTTTCGACGGTATGTGGACGCCAAACTCAGGCCCAACCCTTCTCCTTTATCCGGGCTTGGAACCGACAGTAGCTTTGCGAGGACTCCAGGTACAGTTCGTTTATCACAACTCATAACTCACTGTGACGAGAAATTGGATTAATAAAGTAGAACTGGACTATTACACATTCGAGAGATGAAGCCATCAATCATAAATAGCATAAGCGGGCCTAAAAAGAATGCGTGTTGGTTATTAGTTAGCAAAGTGACACTGAGTCCTATTAGGCTCAGGAAACTACATTTTTTCTTGTGTAAACTTCACTGAAGGGCCTAGGATTGCGTTTTGAATTTTCAAACGTAACATCATAAACGTGTAGTGAGCATTTTTGTCAGAATGTTTCCGGCTATGTGCTGAGCATTTCATATAGTCTGTTTCTTGTTATGAATTTAATACCCGTGAGAATAATCGCGTAGATCACGCTGGTCTACATAAATGTTTTAAAACCATTTTGTAAGCTAATCTGTGACGAAAGGCATTTTGATTAAAAAGCGGTCAAGCCTTCCTTAAAAAGTCAGTTTCGTTGTTGCTCTGAGTTGTCTTCGTGCTCAAATGAGTATTCAGCTCTTGGCTGTGTAAATGATAGAACTGTTGACTGGGTGTAGATTGGTAATAAGAATAATTATGCATAACTTAAAGTCTGGAGTGATATGGAAACTTAGACGGATGCATTTCTGTACCAGGTTCAACAGTGTAATTAATGAAGATAATTAACTTTACTCAATGTAAATGTGGCATCATAAGTGAGCACATATGTACAGAACCACTTACTGAATTCTAGGAGAATAAGTCTCAAGGGAACGAATATATTGAGCAACCAATATACAAGGAGTGAAAAATGCCACACAGTAACCAGACACTTTCCTTTATTGTAGTAGGGTATCCTGTGGTAATTCAGAGAATATCCAACCAGATACAGTGCCAGCTTTGTCTTGAAACTAGAACAGGCAATCGAGATGTTAGGAAGAGGTTACTCTAAATAGATTTACCAACAAGTGGCAACCAATATCATGTTTATCCACTCAGGATTGACTGAATAGTACCAATCAAGTTGTAGTGCAGTCACCAAACTAAGCGACTCGATATGTGTACATTCTATTTAGACGTTAGTTGTCAAGGGTTATTCCAGATAAAAACATTTGAAAACAATTTTATATATCAAGTTTACTGAGCGAATCGGGTCGTTGAGATACTCAAATATCACAGCCTTCAGAAGAACAACAATAATATCATTTACTTTACCGTGGCTGTTGTATATAAACTGTGAAAGAAATACTTAGTGACAACTTTTCTCGACCTAAACAAATCGTAAGTTCGACTAGTTTCTCCTGAAACCGTGATATAAAAAGCAATAAACGTACAAGGTTTTGTGCTGTAATTATGGAAATCAAGTGATGTATTCGGTATCTGTGTATGGTTAGTTTGGTTATAGGTATTTATGGCAAGGCCAACAAAAAGTCAAATGTAGTTAATTAATGTCATGCTTTGAGTGTGGTACTTTATGAAGTTCGCTGTAGAGTCAATTAAGACTGGTCTTGTAAATGATATTTCGATTATCAGGGCCCAAGTGAGTTGGTTAGCTTACGTCGAAGTTGAACTTTCTCCGTATCCAAATTTTGTGATTACTTTGATTATCGTATAGAACGAAACTTCGTTGCAGAAGTATATTGGCAAGAATGAAAGGAGAACCATAAGGCAGCTAAAGCCTCGTGGGTCAGTTAAGGCGTACAAATCAGTGATGAGCGCTGTAGTTCCGTAACTTTGACAAGAGTTGGTGAAATATTTGAAATTCGGAAACCTGCATGCAAAATGATTTGGATGAATGAAAACAGACAATACCAACAGATGACTAACATATTTCCAAATAAGCTGTGTAAAATCTCGGCACAAGTAGTGATACTAAATAACTGTGCTACAAGTTTACGGAATCACACCCCAATGTTTTAACCATAAATGTTATTGAGTTATGACTCCTACCTCATCATAAATATTTTCTGTCCTGCTTCTCGCCCTCTCTCCTCTTTCTCGGTTCATCGTGACACACTAGCAAAACCACATTATGGTCCTACCCTTCAAAAAACACTCCTAATCTTTCAGGGAGACTTACAGTCATTTTATCGGGAATCTGAAAAATGTCATCAAAAAAGGAATATGCATTTACCTCATCAATTCTTGTAATATATAGCTCTAGGCTTAACTTATTCATTACAGACTGTCAGTCGGCAGCGATCTAGTAGCACTGTTTGTTGCTGGAAGTCGCTGAGTACTAAAATAGCAAAATGTCACGAAACGATTATTGCGTCACATCTACAATTCATAGGCATTACAAGAAGCCATTTCATCAAACAAGTAGAAGTTTGGTTTAAGTTATGTCACGCTATGCACGATAACCTCCATCTTCCAAGTAACCAAAGAGATGTCATCGTAGCGATGCATGATTCAGGATGAATATCCAATGATATCGTGCTCTACAGCGATTTAACAGTTGGAATAATTTTTAAACATGCTTAAATGAAGTATAATAAGTAGTATAACTTCTGTTAATAATTTTTTACAGTATACATACTCTAGATTGGTCATATCAGCTTAAAAAAAAGAACGAGTTTGACAGGATTCTCAAATATTTTGCCAGGTATGTTTGTAAACATGAACGTAAATTCAGTGCATCAGGATCAGATTCCTGCCTTCACGATGTAGATATTATTAAGGGTCAGTATTCTTCTGAGAATTTTAAACCTTCTGAGTCACCTCAACCTAAGTAAAGAAGACGACTTCAGTCATCTATGTGCGATCAGTTCGAAATAATTTTATGTTCTATGTTCAGACATTGTGACTATCAGTCGTGATTTTGATTCCGCGAGCGTTAAAACTTCACAGCTACCGTTGTAGAGAATGGTATCCTTCAAGACAAGAGTTAATCTAAAACGAACGATTGTAATTAAGACCGCTCCTATTGAGTAATACTCCAACTCGTAGCAACAACATGCTTCTTTGTAGTTCCGCAAACAGCTTACCAACGAATGTATTGGAAAAATGTGCTTGCACCTATATCTCGGTTGTTAAATATACATTCCAATTATTCGATTTAAATACCAAGCATATCAATAGTATTCTGCAGTGCATCTGGTCCAACAGTGAATTAAAAGTACTTCAACAAAATGACAATTTCAGTCGTCAGGAGCAAATAGCCAGCTACCATTCGTTTCTGGAGGCAGTATTTATTGACTAACAATCAAGATAAGTTTCAAATGATAGCAACGTTATTGAGATTTTTTCCACTGTTCCAGATAGTCTTCATAAAGGGCACACTGATATTTATGCTTTCTGCAGACAAGTATGTCACGAAGATATTGTAAGATCAATAAAGTACTTTAAAGATACAATGTCCTTATATTATTATGGAATCAATATCTGAAATTTCTGATCTACAGTACACATGCAGTCATGTCAATAAAATACATTGTTCGTTTCATGTTTTACGAGCACGTCTTAATACGGTAGGCGTGAACGGTACAAACTACTTGCTGTAGCTTTACCTGCTGTTGTTCGTGAATGATTAGAACATCTTGTGAATACCAAGCCATCTGATACGCAAGCTTCGCGTTTCATTATTCACAATAGTCAGGTTCACTCGAAAGTACGAGTGTCTGACAACACGGAACGCTTGATATATTAGGGACCGATGGACCGATCGAAATTTAGTGACGGTTCACTGCTGTCAGCGACATTTCCGAACTCTGAGAAAACACACAAACAATCATGTGAAAACTGTTCACAAACACCTAAAAGGATATCCTAATATAAGCGATCCTCTGAAGTAAACAGTCTGAAGTAAAACAGACTTGGACATTTTCTTTCATCCAGATGACGCGATAAAGGATATATAGCATTATCCAAAGCTTAAGGCAGGAAATTCAGTTGGGAATATCATAATTTTCAGTGTTTAATGTCACTCTAAACACTTTTGAACGGTCTCACAAAGTCAGTAGCTAAGATTGCAACCGTCTACCATAAAATCAGTAAGTTATGGGGCGCCATCTCTGAAGCATAAATAGAAGCTCACATTTCTGAATTTTGCAATAGTAGGCTCAAATTCTGCTCCGTTCCGCAGGTACTGGAGAGGAATAACCTGTTCACTATTCCGCGAATAGTTTATCCTTAACAAGCTGAAGTTCTGTTCCTCATATTCGGAAATAGTGTAGTATAAATAACAGTTTTCGAAACCAAAGGCGGTCTCATGATATCTATTCACAGTGCTCTATAAAAAATAGTTTGTTAATTCCAGGCAGCAGATTTCTAGGCTGTAACTCATTATTCTATATTTGGAGTTTGAGGACTTAACCGTTCAAGGTCGCCTGTTGTCGGTGGTTTTTGATTCCAGTTTTTCCTTAACTATTTTACTCTTAATGTCCACCAAGCATGGAGGTAAGTGTCTTAGTATTTTACACATACCATTGATTACTGCGTCAAAGCCTAGGTTGATGTTACCCATTAAAGAGATATTAAACAATCTGAACCTCATAGCTATAAATGAATATTAGACATGCTACAATTTTCTCCTGGTATAATGTATATATGCAGCTATATGGGTAACCTTTTGTAGCTGTGTACGCGGTAGTGGGTACTTTGAGAAATAAAGACTTGAGGTTCGAAGCAGTTGTTTATTAGGTCACTTAGATTTTTAGTGTTACTCCACTTTGATTATATTTCCGAATTTATCGAGAAATGCATTAAGTACGTATCCAGATATTTAATATCTGACTTTTCGTAGAACTTGGTTGCTTGAGTATTGTTCTTCAACATTTTTACAAACTTTGAACTTCTCTCATGACACTTTAATTCTGAGTACAATACTCAGATTATCCACTGACAAGATAAATATTTAGACTAACTAGAAAGCTTTTCCATATCAGGCTCATTTAACTTACTTCGAGAATTGCTTATTACCTAGTGATTCATTTACTTGAGTTTTGAAATAATTAAGCTACTATTCATAAGACTGAATGCATAAGAAACTGCCTAACGTTAATAAAATGCCACTAATTACTAACCAAGATATGTAACTAGTTTTTTCTCTCAAAATTTTTTGGTGGATATGGTTACACATCGTTTTACCTACTCCAACTGTCGATATGCAATGGACTGCTTCGTGTAGGCATGTTCATGTTTACTACATTTTAGCAGTCTTGATTACCGAAGTGCATTATTGCCACATATTGAGCGATGACTGATGTAGGCTTTACGCAACGTAGCTTGGGTAGCTAAGTGTCTTAGTTGAGATGATATTTTCCCTTCCTCAGTTGACTTTTATGGTTTTGGATTTAGGGGGATAAGAAACATATCCTAACTACTCATGTGTAACATGGTCACAATATGTATATTGTCTGTCAACAAGATATGGTTTGGAGGTCAAATCTTCCATAGATCGTATTCAGTAGTAGGAATTTTCTTATTGTAGTCAAATATAAAAACTCAAACCCACTCACTATCGCCTAGCTTCTTTCACTACTTATGAATTACGGGTAAGAGTAGGTTGGAAGAAAGCTAGGGGCGGCCAAACCAAAACATGGCACAAATCCACGAAGTCACTGACAGATGGACTGAGTCATGTTGGTAGATGAAGGCTACCTGGTTGGGTTCCGCGAGACGAAAGTCACCAATGGTTAGAGACCTTGAACGACATGGCTCAGAATCGTTTGCAATGGCGCAGGTGCATCCACTGTTTGTGTACTCTCTAATATTAACCTTCTGAATTCCTCATAATCTCTATCTTTCTCCTTCCATATTTCTCTCACTGAATTATACTTTTCGAATCATATCTTCGCTCCCTAATCTTCTCTATTACTGCTAATACTTCTACTATCGCTATCACACTTGGATTTGAACTGACAGTTGCGTCTCTGTGCTGATGTGGTATGGCAACCTGAACTGATGTACTTATGTACGAAGTTCTGCGTTGTATATGTCTGTCTTTCCATGAATTATGAACGTGGTGCTCTGTTTTACTTATATGTAAACATTAGTACGAAGAATCAATAATATGTGTGCGACCTACAATAAAAAAACGAGATTATGAAGACTCAGAGGAAGATAAGTGGATATAACGAAAAAAACAAAAGAAATAAACATTGAATGAGTACAAAAATAATGATGAGAGAAGTAGTTCAGTTAAAAAAAATACAACCGGAAAGGATTCTTTCCGTTAAAGAAGTTTCTCCTACGTATGTGCAAAAATTAAACAAAAATCACGATTGGATCACCCTTGGATTTTGTTCTAAACCATGTCTGATAGCTTCTCAGGCCATTGCGGTACATTATCTCTAGGAGTCCAACCAGTGTTCACCGAGGATTCACAGATGTCAGTCGTGAAAATTGTCGGTCAGAATGAAAAGTAGCCTGTTCTTCCCGCGTAAATCATTTCCGGTTTTGAACAGCCTGCGAAGTATGAAGGAAGCCGATAGTTTGGACTCTAATGGAAGTAGACGTACCCTCAATAATTGTTGTGTGGGTGACGTAAACCTTTTCAAAAGATAGGTACGACTATCGCTTCGTTGGAACACTATAATTGCCAAAGTTTTGCAAACGACTCGGTCAAATCCTTAATTAGGTCACCGCCATCAAAAAAGAAAGCCGGAGGTAAGTCATTTAGGCCGTTACTTGTGTCGCTTCAGGATTTAAAGTTCCTTATGGACTCCCACCTTGTTAGGTGAGCCAATCAACACCGATCATGCAGAACAAACTCAATCCGATTGTTGTCTCCGAGGTGGCAGACTAATTGAACTGATCCCCGAAGAACGCTGTCCGTCCTCCAAGAAGTAGGCAAATGTTGTTGGTCAGCTTCGTAGATTATTTCATTTACATCACACTTACTGCTAGTAGTTCGGAGCGTAGACGAAAATAAAGAAAAGGCGTCATTTCTCACGCTTATTTTTTTCCACTTTGATGGAGCTTTCTAATCTATCAGTACATAATTGACTGTTAATAAAGATTCAGTCGACCAATGCTGCCACAACTCTAGAGCTCAAAGTGACACCAACGTTAGAAACACTAGAAGATACCAAAAAGACCCCGAATAAACGCGTATGAGACAAGCTTTTTGAAGCGACGGATGTATAGTTCTTCACTTAAGTGTTTATTAGGGATCTCTGATAGACACCAGACATGGATGTTATGATTTTTTAAAGACAGCTAACTCTGTCTGATATCCGTTTTTCTGCGAACATTAAAGGAGATCAGTGTGATTGGCACATATGGTTTTAAGAAGGCTAGTTCAGAATTCCTATTCAATGGTAACATTGAACATTCGACTAAGAAATAATTCGAGATCATTCAGAGGAGATATATTTTACACCATAGGCAATCTTCTGTATGAGTTGAAAAATAAAAGAATACACAAAATGAAAATAAAGAGGAATAGATAAGTAATGTGATGCAAAATAAAAATTTATGTTACCAAATAATTGTGAGAATGCTAATTGGACCGACAATAATTTCTTCCTGTTGTAATCATTTGTTTTTTTGTATGTGCTACAATATTGTCTGGGTGCCCAGACCAAAGCAAGTGGTTTTTTAAGAGGAACTACTTCCAGAGATACAATTTACAAGTCGGTGGAGCAACATCAGGAGATGCGGTCTCATCGTGGACAGTGATCAAGTGTAGGCTCACGCGCCATTTATTATTTTAGGATGGAATTAGAGTTTCCCAACTCCTCTAGATGAATCCTCCCGACCATAACTGATATTTTAGCGTGGTGGATGGACTTGCCTACTGTCATGACTCAACCGAGCTATATTAGTTGGAACATACGTTTCTTTAGGTCCTACTAAGCATCAAATTAAGGTCTGAGGGCAAAGGCGTACTGCTAACTGTAGAGGGGTGTAACAGCAGTAAGATGTTTCCCTCGGACAAACAGCATCTGCAGCGATGCTACCTTTTCATGACGGAACGAAGGAATTAGAAAAGTTCGAACATAAATTGGTTTCATCTCACCTTACCCCAATGGATTTTCACCTCTGGCCGCTCGCGACTGGCCTAAAGCAGTTGTCCTTTGGGCTATGCGGTCACACTCCCAGGTCATTAAGATTAAGACTAATCCAGCATTCTGTTTCGGGTCCTTCAAGAAAAAGTACTATCCTATGATGTGGGAAGCCAGAAAGTGACAACTGCCATCATACCCCCAATAGCACACGAGATCAATTTGTTCATGATCAAATCTTTCCCCCTACCCCTTAATAACTCTCTTATCCTCACGGCTGACCCTTCTCCTAGGTCCTTATAACCTGGCACCGCTAATGCTGACGATTCTAGTTCATTATATATTATTTCTGGTTTCCTGAAATGACGTTCTAAACTACTTGTTGCAGCTTTTAATGTTCAGATTATTCGATTACTCCTGTTACCCGTAATTGGCGACCGACCTGTATTCTCCGGTTAACTCTGTCCTGGACCTTCCCTTCCAGTCCTACCCAAATTCTGTTCATTCTTTCCATATCTCTCTCCGATCCTCGGCTTAATGTGTTCCTTGATCTGCCCCTTTATTTTCATCCTGATCGTTCAGCGTTAGCTCTTACCTTGTGACGCAGTTGGGTGGTTTCCGCAATTTATGTCCTATTCACCTCCGGCGCTTTTTCCTAATTCCCTCCTCAACTGGAGTCAAGTTTGTCTCCTCCAACAGTAGGCTATTGCTGACGGCGCCTGGCCGACAGATCTGCAGTATCATGCGTAGACAACCAATAATAAACACTTGTATCTACTGGATGATGGCCTTCATAGTTTCCCAAGTTTCCGCTCCATACGATAAGATCGTCCTGACGTTTGTATTGAATATTCTGACCTTTATGTTGGCTGACGGTTTTTTGAGTCCTGGTTGTTCTCCAATTGTAGAAATACTACCCCTGCTTTTGTGATCTGTGTCTTTAAATCTGCACCAGATTCTCCTTTCTTACCAATGATGCTGTCCAGATGTGTAAGGGTTTATTCGTCTTCTAGAGTTTCTCAACTAAGTGTTGACATGCTCATCACTTCTATCTTTCTCTTTCTAAACTTATTTCACTGAATTATACTTCTTGAATAACTTCTTCAAACCCCAATCTTCTCCATAACCATTAATACTTCTACTATCTCTACCACTATGGGATTTAAACTGACATTTGCGTCTCTCTGCTAATGTGGTATGGCAACCTGAACTTATGTATGTACGTACGAAGTTCGACGTTGTAATTGACTGACTGACCTTCATATTCCACTTGACCACTAGAAGAAAGAGAAAAGGTAAGAGTAAGCAACCTTGTCTGTAACAGGTCTTCACTTTGAATGAGTCTGTGGGCTACTCTTCACTCATGGCTTTGCAGTGTATTTCATCATGAGAATTCTGTACGATGTTGACTGTCTTATCAGGCACACCGCAGTGTCGAAGAAGACACCATAATATCGTTTTGTACACTCTATCGAATGCTTTCTCGTAGTCAAAGAAGTTGATGTGCAGTTGTGAGTTCCATTCACTTGTTCGTTCCACATTATCCGTAGTGTCGCGTTCAGTTTGGTCGGTACACAGTCAATCAATCTTTACAGAATCCAACCTGCTGATCTCGAGCGTCAACTGAATCTTTCATTCTGCTCAACAAAACTACGTTGATGACTTCTCATGGTATTAGTTATTCCTCCGTAGTTCTTACACTTGCTGAGATGTCCTTTCTTTGGTGTCTTGATTGGGTGTCCTTTCCAATCTCTTGGTAATTGTTCTTCCTCTCAAATCTTTCTGGAGAGAACTTGGAACATCTCTACCGTTACTTCCATGTTTGACTTCAGCTGGTTCGTTGTTTGGTCTTGTTGTTTTGATAGCCTTTCTGATTTCATCCGTTGTTGCTGTGTCAACATCAATTAGGAGGTCAGTACGTGCTGCTTTGATGTTGAGTGGGTTTGGCCGGACTGGTCGACTCAAGAGTTCTTCAAAGTACTCTCTTCACCTGTTTCACTATTCTTGGATGTCAGTGGTTGATTTGCCTCTCTTGGTTTTTAATGGTCGTTATGCTTTACTATATTTTCCAGCAAGCTTCTTCATTGCATCATGTAGTTGTCTGATGTTTCCTTCTCTTGCAGCCTTTTCTGTTATTAGGTCTTCCGCATATTTACATTTGTCAGCGTTGATGCCCCTCTCCACTTGATTGTTTGCTTCTGTTTATTCGGTCCCTGTATCAGCACTTCTCTGCTCTTGTTTGGCTGTTGATAATAGCTGCCCTTTGTTATTCCTTTACTGATTCTTATCCAGAACACCATAAATTCATTAATTATAATGGTGCTTTTCGGGTCAAAAACAACATGACATGCTGAAGTTAATGCTTCTCTGATCCCTTTCCAGTTGTTCTCCATGTTAGTTTCTTCTGCTTTGGAACTGGCAGTAACTCTAGAAACTTGAGGCACATAGGACAACAGGCTTCCTTAGCTAGGACTCCTGGATCTCGCGACACCAAAGTACTCAGCGTCTCTAAAATAAGCATACATGATTCAAGCATAGTCATTAAATTAACCTCCTAATGTCAGAGTAAAGAACCGTCTCGATTTATCGTTTATGTATCTGGAGACCCCACTGCTACTACCTGTATCCTCGCTGGTGTAGGTAGAGCACTAAGTGTAATAGCAGAACTAGCTCGTAGACTAGAATACAGTAGATGATCGCTTGTGCGCTGTCCATCTAAATGGGACAGTAAGAACTCGAAAAGACAGGGATACTCACCGTTGCCTTTTTGTTGTCTCTTCCTTCGCTCCCACTGATCGCACCTCAGACGAGGTAAAAGATAGATAAAACAGGATTCAAGACTTCTGCTCATTCTAAAGCACATATTTCGACTCAGCTCATACGAACACGTATTTGCCTGAGTCTTGCTGAACGTATGAAATACATAAAAAGCTCTTTGAGTTCAACTTAACGGTAAGAAAGTCAGCAGTACACTTCAAGAACAACTAGACAAACATTGAGACAACTATGTAAGTGATGACCACCCTGAGGCAGCTTGTAATGATATCCGAAAAGCTCTGAAAACAGTAGTGATATCTGTCAGTAAATTAAACGAACTGATTAGAGAGGAGCAGTGAATTCCAGTAGCATATACTGAACTGGTAGATGTTGAAAAACTGATCACTTTTGGCTCCGTACGCGATGAAGATCGGAAGCAACCTAAACCCAGGCTGATAAAAAGCCTACGTGGTGATCGCGAACAGTAGTTGGTATTGAAAGCAGGATAGATGGAAAAGGCAGCGGCGAAAAATAACAGTAGACAACTATCCAAACGTATCAAGGAATCCGACTGTTAGGGAGACTGCCAAGAAAAGACTAAACTACCATTCATTCCCACCCGAGGAGATTGGATCAGTAGACTGAACATTTTAGTGAACAGTTCAATTATCCTTCAGCAACACCCCAACTACAACCCATTTCCAAGTAGAAGTAGGCTGAGAGAAAGCTAATGGCGGTCAAACCAAAAACACGGCACAAATCCATGGAGTTAAGGACAACCGGACTGAGCCACGTTAGTGTAGGTGTAGACTACCTGATTGGGGTTCGCGTGGTACTCTTAAGAGATGGTTAGAGACTTTGAATGACATGGCTCAAAATCGTTTGTGATTGCATAGGTGGTCCCATCTTTTATCCTTCTTCAAATACTAAGCTTCTGAATTCCTCGACCTTTGTTTTGTATGATTTATTTCACTAATTTGTAATTCTTTGAATCATCATCGTTCTCTAGTCTATTCTCTTATCAGTAATACTGCTACTTCTATGTGGTTTCAACTGACTATTTTATCTCTCTGTACTAATGTGGTTTTGAAATTTCGTAAACATCCCCGTTGAGGGAAGCAGTATGTAGGACGTTCTGTCAGTGCCTATATATTCGTCACCACATGAAAGCATTTCGTGTATAATAACTCTCTCTTCTTACCCTCAGCCGTAAAAGTATACTTGTTTCATACTGTTGTTATCGGTTTAGTTTCTTTTGGTTTGGTCCTCGTTGCTTTTCCATATCTTCAGTTATTATTGTTATAATTTCTCTGCCTTTCTTGATTTTCTTTCATTATGTTGTGAAGTGTAGAAGCTTGAAAGGCTACACGCTCGTCAAGTTCCAAGCTATAATGTCTTTCATTGCTATTATTAATATCGTTATTAACGGTTTTATTCAATATTACATATTTAGTACGTTGTGGAATTCTCAGCACAAAGTATTTCAACAAGTTTCTTTTACGAAAACAAAATCGATAACTGCATATATTTATGTAAAATAGGTAAACTACTCGGAATTTAATAGGATGTGAATCTATGCAAATTTTTTAAGTAATAATATGTTAAAGAATACAATTTTTTGACTAGATCAGCTTCCGAAAACATTGCAGAAATCCATGAAGTCACTGACAAGCGGACTGAGCCATGTTGGCAGGTGTAGGCTTCCTCGTTGGGGTCCGCGAGACGAAAGTAACCGATGGTTAGAGACCTTGAACGACATGGCTCGAAATCGTTTGCAATGGCACAGGTGCATCCACTCTGTGTTCTCTCAAATTCTAACTTTCAGAATTCCTCATCACCTCTATCTTTGTTTTTCTAATGTTATCTCACTGAATTATACTTCTTGAATAATATCTTCGAACCCTAATCTCTCTGATTACTGCTAATACTTCTACTACCTTTACTGCTATGGGATTTGAACTATCATTTGCGTCTCTCTGCTAATGTGGTATGGCAACCTGAACTTATGTACTTACGTACGAAGTTCTTCGTTGTAACTGACTGAGTAGATCAGCTCTTACAGCCTGTTCGTTGCATGGTATGTTTACTAGATAAGATATTGTAGATTTTTTATACCATTATTTGCGTGCGTGAATTATAATGTACCAGCGTTTCCTTTTACAAGATGTACAAGGAGGAAGATATGAATGGATTAGATGGTTAGCATCTTCCCATGAATTTGAAAGATTTCAATTGTCTATCCACAATCATTTTCATGATAGTCTCAAAATATTCACTAATTACCTTGCTAACTGCTTTCAGCATTCTACAACGCAGCAAAATCTTTTCTTCAAAGTCCCGGAAAGAATAGTTGGAACAGTAAAAAAATGATAAAATTTACAGATCATTAAAGTAAATTTATAATGCCAGTTGAGAAGGATTCGTTGAAGATTCCAGTTAGTTTACTATATATATATATATATATATATATATATATATATATATATATATATATATATGGAGCGATCGATTATATTGTGAGTTGAACTAGTTAAAATACTTTGCGCTGAGAATTCTACATTGTACTAAACATGTAATTTTGAATAAAACCTTTTATAACAATGGTGATAAAAGTAAACGGGATTAAAGTTTTAGTTTTTTTTTTCACTGTGTTAGAGTGATAAACAAAATGTTAGTTGATTGGTGGTTTAAAATGTTACAATATATTCTGTCAAAAATATCTCGTGACATTAGATTCACATACTTGTTACATTTGCTGACTGATCCTTAGTGAAAATAAAGAAGATTGGATAATAGGCCCCGATAACTCTGTTTTTTCTTTATGTTAGTAAAGTAGTCGGCATGATCCAAAACTTATTATAATCAATGTTTGGTCTCTGTTCTATTGAATAATAAAAAATCAATTATTTCTTTTTGTTACTTCTTGGGAACAGAATTTCCCAACCTACGTCATTCCAGAATACTGAAATTTCTATTATTACTACTGCACTTAATCTCATCGCCCAAAGACATTTCAATTCTAACAATGCAGATGTAACTCACTAGTTTTAGCTACCAGCTTACAGATTTGAACAGTTAACTACTATGTTGTTAATCAGTCAATTGATCTCACAATCCGATTATCGGTTAGTGGGTTCACTATTTTTGTTAAAAAACAATGCTTTGTAAATTTGTTTAAAATAGTTCTGAAAATCTTTTAAAAAATTATTTTTTCGCATCAAGGTGTAACTTGTAACGGATGTGCACGAAGAGATTTCAGATTTAGGCGATATAAATGTCTCGTTTGTCGTGACTATGATCTTTGTGGATCCTGTTTTGATAGTCAACTAGAAAATGAAAAGCATTTCAGTTTCCATCCAATGCAATGTTTAATCACTAAAGCAGATCATGATGTATTTTACAGTGGTGAGGTAAGTAACTTTTTCTAGTTCTCGGTAAATATACATCTTTTTTTCACAAAAATAATATTGACAAATGCCCGATCAGTAGAATGAATAATAACAGAGGAGAACACTAGTTCCTATACATTTTAACTTGATAGCCTAGTTATTTGGTCTTTGGCTGTTGGATTAAATGTTAAATACATCTTGATAGGATTTTACCTAGATAACCGGTTGTAAAGTGTCTCTTTACTTACTATAGATGTTTTCTCCAGTACATAGATGGTTTACGTAGATATCAAGTTGTTTTATGGGTTAAATCACACTAGTTCTAACTATCTTAATCTTTAATCCACTATACCACTAAAATTATTTCCATTATTTTCATTCTATAAAATGTCACAAGTTAGAATAGATATAATGTTGAATGTTAAATTTACAGATTTAAATTGAAAATTTTTATTTTTTAAAACTCATATTCATTCAATGTAAATAATTAGTATGTTCTTACGATTGTTTGATGTACAATTACAGCAAACAATATAAAATCATTTTCTGCCTCACTTATTTATTTCTGTTAATATGTACTCTGGCAAAGTAGTGTAGAGAGTTATTAGGTGTAGAAAGGATTTGATTGTGACTAATTTGGTCCCGTGTGCTTTTATGGGTATGATGGCGGATGTTACTTCCAGACTGCCCACACCGTGGAAGGGTTCTGGTTGTCAGAAGGGCATTGACCTCACGACTTCCGAAGGAACTCGGCTTTCATCATGAGACGTCATAATTCTTCTAAATGAAGACATTCTAGCTCACAGAGTAGAGTTTATATGGTTTGAGTTATTTTTTATTGTTAGCGTTTTTTTTGGCAAGTAGGTTTTTTCCGGGATGGGGTGGCCAACCCACATCTCAGCCCTCCTTCTTTACCCGGGCTTGGGACCGGCAGTAGCCCCGAAGGATCTACAGGCAGAGTTGGCAAAGTAGTATAGAATTGACACTCACAAAATATTTGTTTGACATACTAGATTCATAGACATATGCTTACAGTAGATAATTGTCTCAACTTATTTTTATTTAAATATTAAATTGTTGTTGTATAAATTTTTGTATCATTACAAGTTAATCGGTAATTTCGTCAAAATAAATCTGAATCTTTTAAACGCACAATATTCAAAATATTCTTTCGTGTACATTTCATCAATTTCTCTCATTTCATAGTTTTTTTTGTTTGATCATTTATATTTTATTTCTTTTAAAGAGTTCAACTAAATATTGTGTTCAAAGTTTCACTTGTTCAGTATGTAATCAGTTAGGTTTTACAGAATCATCGTTGTTAAGTCATGTTTTTACTCATCATCCAAATACTATTGATTCCGAAGTACTTTGCCCATTTTGTGCCATTCAAACAGAAGGTGATCCAAATCGTACTACATATGATATTGCAAACCATTTTAAAACTGTTCACAATTTTCAACCTCCTGTCAGTGGTAAAAGTAAGTTTATAACTGTTAATAACTTATGTATGTGATACAATTGTTTGTCATTTTCAAGATATCATATATTCATACCCTTTATTATGTAGTGATTTGTATTGTCAATTATATATTGTAGTTGAATAATGTGTCAATTGTAATTATATCAAAATGATAGCCAAAATTCTAGTTCATTGCATACCAGTTTGATCTCTACTATTAAAAAGCTGTTAGTAGTGATTGATAAAGATAGACAGCACAAGAGGTTAGGACCGCTACAATTATTCAATTATAGACTTCTTTAAAACTTGGGGTTAGCGTTTGTATGAAAATTTATATATATATATATATATATATATATATATATATATATATATATATATAAGCTCCATGGGAGGGTGTACGTTCCGGCTGACCTTCTGGGACTAATTCGATCTTTAGCTTCATGTGGGGTCTGAGGGCTCCGATCGATTTTATCAGCGTAAGGCAGTTGGAGGCCAGACGGTTGAAACGGCTGCTGGGTGGCTCGGTAATCCGTTTCGGGGTTCCAGGTTTAGCTGGGGAAGCCCGCCTTGCCGCCCTTGCCGATTGGGGATTGTGGGTAGTGGATTGGTTGGAGGGATCTTGTTGATTCATAAGTGCCTAAATGGGGGCCACTGCTCGTGCGCGTGCTTTTGGACGTCCACTTGTTTGCAGACCAATCTATACAACATGTGCGTTCCCGTACGGGGCAGGGGTGGCTCTTGTTAGGATCCTTGTGTTGTTTAAAATGCAGCGGAGTGCATGTGTAGAGCAGGCTTGTTGGTTAACCAAGAATATATATATGTATATATTATATATCCTATTGTTGCTAAAAGTTTAGTGATATGCTCGGCACTTAGGATGCTTGAGGCTATTACGAGTTTACCTTAGTCGATAAACGCGAACGAGACTTTTACCAGCTTCCAGGAAGGCTACCTTGAATCCAAACGGGAAAACAGAAGTCTTGGTAAGAGTAGAAAGTATATTCTACAAACACCCAGCAATCCAGTACAATCAAGCATACAACTCTCGTTTATTTATACAACATAACAACGTCCTTGAGACAGTTAAGAAAATAGCATACTAAAATACACTGTGGCCAATCACAGCCATTGATTTTCCTGGTGGGAATTGAAATCTCAAGGTCATTTGATCAGTCCCTGCTGGCGAACGTGAAAACCGAAATACGGCATTATCAAGCGAATTTTGGGGATCTAACATCCCCAACACTCCTCCCCTTTTTAATAGCGTGTTCTCCTGTGGTTGACTTGCATCTTGACTATTGTTCGCCGCTGTCTGAGGGGATACCTTCGGGAACGAAGAACAGCTTGCTGCTGAGTTTCTTCTCGTGGCGGGGCTCTCGGTAGGTTGAAGGTATCAAGCAAGATGTCAAGGGGAAGGCTTTCTGCTCTTGATGGGCGATCTGGGGCTAGCCGTCTGCGTATCTGATTCCGATGACGTGACCATTTATCACCTCCTACCTCTACTTCGTACATAACTCGACCAACCCTTCTGACCACTCTCGCTTCTACCCAAGGACCATGGTTCGTTCTGTAGTCGCGGGCAAACACAGGGCATCCTACTTCGTAAGCGGATTGTCTTTGCTGCTTTGTCTTTACTGATGAGGGTGCATTAGTCGGATGCATCAGGCTGTGGATCGTTTTCAATCTTCTTCCCATCAGGATTTCAGCTGGGGACTTTTGCTCCGGTAACAATTCATTTGGTGTTGTCCGATAGACGTACAAGAAATTTTGTAACGTTTCGGCTGGCGTCCCCTCCCCTTTTGACTTGAGCAGTGCTCTTTTAAACGTATCCACAAACCTTTCCGCCTGCCCATTCGATTGCGGGTGGTATGGTGGCGAGCGTAAGTGTTTAATAGCTAGCCGTTGACAGAAATTCTGGAATTGGGAAGAGGTGAATTGAGAGCCATTGTCGGATACGATCACATCTGGTATGCCATTTCGTGAGAAAATTTCAGTTAGGAGCTGTATAGTCTTAGTTGTAGTGGGCGGCATAACGGGGCTGATTTCCGGCCATTTAGAAAAGGCGTCGACGACAATTAAATACATAGTTCCATTTATTGGGCCAGCGAAGTCGACATGTATACGGGACCAAGGATGCTCAGGTTTGGGCCATGAAACCGGCGGCATTTTGGCATTCATCTTTGCCGCCTGCTGACACCGGATGCATTTTTCAACCAACGCTGTGACATGTTGATCCATGTGAGGCCAGTATGCATAACTCCTGGCTATGGACTTCATTCGTTTAATCCCAGGATGACCAAGATGGAACTGTCTCAGCACTTTTGCACGAAGGGATGCTGGAACCACTACTCTTTCACCAAACATGAGACAATCGTTCACGATGCATAGTGAATTCCGCCGCTGATACAGTTGCTTCATGTCACCTTCAAACTTTTTCGACGGCCAACCGTTAGTGACATATTTCATCGTCATCTTGATGATGGGGTCGTTTCTAGAAGCATTTTGTATGTCTGTTGCAGACACCGGTAATGCGCGAACTGCGGTTGTCAGATCACATTCTGCGTGGTCTTCTACTGACAGAGATGCGATCACCATGTTTTCCTCAGCCGCCACTTGGTCATTAATGAGTCGTGACAAAGCGTCTGCTTGACCGAATTGTAGAGTGCGTCGATATTGGATTTCGAAATCATACCCCAAAAGTACCAAGGCCCATCGCTGAAGACGATTTGCAGAATGGGCTGGAATGCCAGACTTTGAACCAAATATTGCTAACAGAGGCTTGTGATCTGTGAGGAGCGTGAATCTCCGACCGTACAGAAACTTATGGAAACGGCGAACAGCAAACACAAGGGCAAGAGCTTCTTTCTCTATCTGGCTATACTTCTTTTCTGCTGGGGTCAGTGTACGGGATGCATGCATAACGGCTTTTTCCGACGCGTCTGGAAATTGATGTGAAATAACAGCACCTAGGCCATATGCTGAAGCGTCTGCTGCTACGATGATCGGCATGGATGGATCGTAGTGTGTTAATAACAATTCCGAGCTAATTATAGACTTGAGTTTACCAAAAGCCGCGTCACACTCTTTATTCCAGTTCCATGTGCTATGCTTCTGCAGTAGACAATTCAATGGAGCGCGAATATCATGCATCGAGGGAACAAAAGCTGAATAATAACTGATCAAACCGAGAAAAGATCGTAATTCGGAAACATTAGTGGGAGTAGGCATCAGTTTGATAGCTCGGATGTTTTCAGGATCCGGTCTGCGACCGTCGGCATCAAAGATAAATCCCAAATACTTTACCGACTGCAATAGAAACTGGCATTTTTCTGGGCGTAACCGGAAACCATTGTCACTGATGCGTTGTAGTACCAATGTCGTGCGTTCCCGTAGCTGTTCTAACGTCTTCGCAACAATCAAGATATCATCGAGATAAGCTGCAACCCCTGGGATATCTGACAGGATTGTATCCATTAGTTGTTGGAAGATAGACGGCGCAGTCTTAACTCCAAAAGGTAGACGGTTATACTGAAACAAACCGCGATGAGTGTTGATAGTAAGCAGCTCTTTAGATGCTTCATCGACTTCCACTTGCAAATAAGCATCAGCTAGGTCAAGCTTTGCGAAGAACTTTCCCCCATTCAGCATAGTGAACAGATCTGCCGGGACTGGCAGAGGATAATGATGCTGTTCTAGAGCTGCGTTGAGACCTGTAGAGAAGTCAGCACATATACGTATCGTGCCGTTGGCCTTCTTGATAACGACTATAGGTGCTGCCCAACTGGAGTAAGAAACGGGAGTAATAACTCCTTGTCGTTGAAGGCGATCCAGCTCTTCATCTACTGTTGCTAATGTAGCATACGGTACAGGTCTCTTTGGACGAAAAGCAGGCTTAGCCCCATGTTTCAACCGAAGTGTTGCTTTCATAGCAGTGCACCGACCTAATCCAGGTTCAAAAATGGTTGAAAACTCTGTCATCAGCTTCTTCGTATACGCTTCTGGGTCATGTCGTTGTGATACCAGGTTGCATATGGTATTTAGCGGGACATCAGCCAATTTTAGCTGGTCGAACCAATCTAAACCAAGTAAATTTAGATCAGCTGGCGTTATATAGCATACCCCAGTAAACGACGAATCTCGGAAAGCAACTTTACATTCCAATTGTCCTAACAGACGAAGATAATTACCACACGCTGTGCGAGGCTTTTGTGTTGTGTGCTGCAGGCTTGGGCTGCCCAACTTGGTCCAATTTTTGCGTGAGAGGATAGTGACATCAGATGCAGTATCTATTTGCATTCTACACAAATAACCGTTAATATTAAGAGTAATAAATTTCCTCTCACCTGGTGATGAACTTTGGCAGGAAGATATTAGGCTCAATGCATTGGTACTGGATCTAGGAACAGGCTTCTTAGCACTTCTGGATCGCTTTGGCTTTTTCTGTAGGCAAAAGCCATCTTTATGACCGATGACTTTACACTTCCTGCATCTATGCTGCCTAAATGGGCAGTTCCGTACATAGTGCCATGAACCGCAGTGCCAGCAAGCAGAAGGTGGATTCATTTTGGGTTTTTGGGCCGAATTGGAATTTTTCTTTTCACTAATGGAATGCACGTATGATGAGAGGCCCTTGTTTTCGACCATGGAGGTATCATGCTTCAAGTTTACTAATCTCTGGCACTCTGCAGTTATTTCTTGAAGCGAGATGTTTGGGCACTGTTCAATTTTACTTAGGATTCTGGTTCTTATATCAGCATCGTCGGGAGATTGTAAGCTGCACACAAACACAAGGCACTTAAACTGATCTTCCGTCATTGATGATAATTTAAATCGTTCGCATTCACGATTTACTAAGCCAGCATGCTTTACCCAGTCATCTTCATTTGACTTGATTATTTTGAGGCATTGATAACGAATATTAAAGAGAGATGACTGTTCAGAGAAGATTTGCGACAGCGTATCAATTGTAGCATCAAAAGAGAAATCTCGTGGGTTCTTTGGGAGGATGAAATTACTGTAACGTTCGTGTTCGATTGTGCCGAGCTTTCTCAAAAGGATTCTGACTTTGGTGGCGTCATCAAGATTGTTGAGGTCGACCTTGAACAAATCCTCATACTTCTTAAACCAAGACTCGAAAGTCACACCAGCAAGGCCGTCAAAATGAAATTCATGAATGGAATTAACTATCGAGTCTGTATGCGGATTATATGAATCATCGGCAAAACCTCTGTGATTCAAATTCATTTGTTTCATTAACAGCTCCAACATACGTTCCTGGAACTGTTCATATCGTTTACCTTGACGTTCCAGTAAAGATTCTAACTGTTCAAGATTAATTGACATTGTGAATTGTGAGCCCCGTCGCCACTGATATGTTCGTCACTTAGTATGCTTGAGGCTATTACGAGTTTACCTTAGTCGATAAACGCGAACGAGACTTTTACCAGCTTCCAGGAAGGCTACCTTGAATCCAAACGGGAAAACAGAAGTCTTGGTAAGAGTAGAAAGTATATTCTACAAACACCCAGCAATCCAGTACAATCAAGCATACAACTCTCGTTTATTTATACAACATAACAACGTCCTTGAGACAGTTAAGAAAATAGCATACTAAAATACACTGTGGCCAATCACAGCCATTGATTTTCCTGGTGGGAATTGAAATCTCAAGGTCATTTGATCAGTCCCTGCTGGCGAACGTGAAAACCGAAATACGGCATTATCAAGCGAATTTTGGGGATCTAACATCCCCAACATTTAGCGACCAAATGGATCAACTAACTACCGATAGGACTTGGTTACTTGTTACATTCATTATAACATACACATAACTAAACCAAAACATAATTGGACTGAGAATAAATAGAGTTTGTCATGTTAAATAATTTTAATTGGAGGTAAATTAGAATGAAGTAACTAATTAAACGTTTAACTTGAACTGATATATGGATGTACCAAATTTTATGTTGTAACCGACTGATTGAATTTGAGAAATTGAACATCCATTGTTGTCGGAGTCCTGTTTCGAATAGGATGTAGATGGGATTGTATTTTTATCTGTACATCAACAATCCTCATAGTGTAGGCAACTGCATTTTATCTCCTCTATGATTTATCCATATATACAAATATTTGAATGGTATTTGTTCTTCGATAAATTTTTCCGAACTACTTTGGTTTCTTTAGAGATAATTTTATGTTTTGTGTGCAATGTGATCGTTGATTGGCTCTTCAGCTTCTTCGGACAATTTCCATTCTCTCAGTAAATACATTTTTTTGGTGATCTTTCTAAAAAAAAAAGAGAAAACACTTCAACACCATCATAATGAAATACTTTCCAATCGAAGTGTTTTAATTGTCTTTTAAATTTTAATCAATTGTCAGTAATGAAATGGATATTCAATTTATGTTTATTTTTTCTGTTACAACTATTGCACAAATTCTCTTTTCTTCTTCTTCTTCTTCTTCTATTCCGCTTCTTCATTTTAGTGAAACAGTTTGAATAATAATTTAAAATTAATTTTGTTTGTTTGCTTATTTTGTAGGTGGTATTCAATCATCTCATTCGACCACTAGTAGTCAACAACCTACAACTTCTTCAATCTCTGACTTCGTTCGTTTACGCTCTGATCGACTAAAACATGTCAATAACACTGATGCTGTTCATAGTAGCACTTCACAAAATCAACATTTTTCAGTAGATGATAAATCATGTTGTTACAATGCAAATAATTATGCCATAACAAAATCATTATCAACAAATTCACGTTTTACTACTGGTTGTATAGTAGCAATGAAAAATTATTTAAAAAATTATGAAAATAATAAAACTACCGATGGATTACTTGATCAACCGATTGATTTGTTGTTACAAAATAATAATGAACTAACTAGAAATTCTACTGCTTTACACTGTGAACATGATATGGACAAAGTGAATTCACACTCTGAAGTTAATCAGTCAATAAATTCTGTTAGTGATAAAAACAATCAGAATCCAGTAAGTTTGTAATTTCTTTGTATTTGTTAGAAAGTTTGTTATCGGAACGATTGCATCAGTAGGTATCATAGTCGGAAGTGTGTTAATAGTATAAGCATGTTTTTAATGCAATTTTATCTCTTCCAATGTGAAATATTACTTCAGGATCGATCTACTTCAACGCTTAAATTAATTATAGGCAGTAAAGTAATTAGCTTCTTTAACTATTCCATTCATATTAGAAGTTTTATCAAATTTGATGAAGACCACTGGAGGTTGGCAATTCTCCATAAGCTCTGACCCGACCAATAGTATTCGTGGTGCACCTTTTAATGGAAGACTGCCACAAAACCTCTCGACCAAAAGAGTCGAATGATGCCTTAAAGTCAAGTAATACAACTATAGTTGGAAAGTTCCAGAAACTGACAAAGAGCGAACATTTATTCGATAAATCCATCTCTATGTCTGAAATTAACCTGATTTCTTCGAGCTAGCTTTTTGAAATCTTTAGTAAACCGTTGAATAATTATTCAAGCTAATATTTCACATACTATTCTGGCCAAACTGACTAACTTTGGCTGTCACATGATGATCTTTATCCCCTTTTACAAACTGACTATCAACAACTGCGACCAGCCAGATGAGATGAAGTCTAGTTCCGAGTTTCCTATTGATGAGATTGTAAATCTTCATGGACTGAGATGTTTAGGACATGTATTAAGTATTCCTAACGTATCTCTACCTCGACATGTAATATTTGCTAATGTAAGAATACGTTCAAAGAAAACTAGAGGCGATCAAAGCAAAACGTGACGTAAGTCCATAAAGTTATTAACTGTTGAACTGTGCCAAGTAGTTAAGTTCAATTTATCTGATTGAGAGCTACGTGATCACAGTAACCAGTTGTTAGAGTTCTTGAGTGATATGTTTCAAAATCGTTTGCAATAATGCAAGTGCATTCGCTCTTCGTCGTCACTTGGATCCGTAGTTTCGAAATTTTCTTATGTTTTTTTTTCCGTCCTTTGATACTTAATCTTTTCTTCTGCTATTGATGCCGTTTAATGCTTCGACTGCTCTAGAATTCCTTTTCACAGTTTTATTTCACTGTGCTAGTGTGCTTCAGCGCTAGGATCTATGTTGCATATTACTGCCTAGTCAGGCAGTTGCAATGTGGGACACGATAAGTACTTATATCAGTGCAAGTTTCCATATCTTACTGACAAAGAGACAAACATTTCAGGCTTAATCCTAGAGTAGTGGAGTTAGTAATGTTATCAATTGGAGTGAAGTCGAAGATGTGTTTAAGGAAGATGTAGGTCAGTAAAATAGAGAAAATTTTGAGAAATTCAGAAGCTTAGAATTTAAGGGAGGCACATACACCAATGCAAACGATTTTGAGCCGTCATTTAAAGTCTCTAACCGTCGGTTATGATTACCACGCGGACTCTAACCACGTAGTCTACATTTATTAACACCGCTCAGTCTAGTTGTACTTGACTTCATGGATTTGTTCCATACCTTGATTTGGCCGTCCGTAGCTTTATTCCAAACTACTCCTGCACCAAGTGACATCGCTATTCAAGGTAGGTAGTGATTGAGTATACATAACACCATGTCCCAACCATCTTAGTTGATGAAGATTCATCACTCCATGAACTGATTTGCCATGCTTAAATAGTACCCCATCCTTAACCCAAGCATTGCTTACTCGGAATATTGCTTACCCGAAATATACGAGCATTGCTTCAGAGACACCTGTGATCGGATACTGACTTAATCAGTTGAACAGTATCTATTATTATTGTATTTACTTTAGATCAACTGTAGATAGTTGACAAGTAACTCTAGGTCTATGTTTCGCGCTATTTTGCATTCGGTAGTAAGGCGTACCTCTGATCTTGAAAGAACTGATGTTCCTTATTGGACTTATGTCAGTGTTAATTACTTCCAAAACGTTCATCAAAATATGCTTTTGTATTCACCATTGGTGTTAAGCTTTTAGGTTTGTGTATTTGAATAGTTTTGGTTGTTTGGTACACTAGATAAATGCATTTGAGGAAATATTGAGCGACTTAAACTAATTTGTTCATTTTCGATTTTGTCTTAACTGTTAAACTAACTAGTAGTCAGGTGAACAAGTGTCTGGTACATGCAAAGCCTGTATATTATTTATTAGATATGATATCTCTAAGCTGTCAGTTTTGACTACTTTCACACGTTTCTACGTTTCCAAAATTTGGTGATATGTATCTCCGAATTAAAACCGATATTTCGATAGACCTTTAATCTTGTGTTTTTTAGACGGTCAAAACTCAAGAAAATGCAACAAACCATTGTACATCAACTGTTTCTGTTATTCGAAACTCAAGACCCAACGATATTTCAATTCCTTCTTCTACTGAGAACACAACTACTCCTGTTGATCAGGTTGATCATTCAAGTATTAATGCCAACTCTAACTTGGAGTCTTTCACTTCGGAAATATCTGACCATAAATTGAAGTCAATAAATCCTAATTCTTCAAAGTATTCAAAATCATTATCAAACGATTTACATACAAAGTCAGTTAATGATGAAAAAAATAAAGAATCAAACAAAAAACCAGTCTTTAATTCGTAAGTTTTATTTCGCTTTTTTCTCACTTTACTTGTTTCCACTCTGATATTATATGAAACAAACTGAAATAAGTATACAGTAAATTAACTCCAGAATACAATCAATTAGACAGTGATATCGCCTTAGCAGTAGTAACATAATGGGGCATCGTCAAACCACCTATTTACCTAAAATTAAACAATGTCAACTGTTTAATCACTAGTAACGTTTTATCTAAATCATGCTTAACAGTTGTAGCTTTTCTTCTGTCACGTGGGTTGTTCAGTTTGTCAGTCATATTCAACGTAGAACCTCATACATGTGTACATCGGTTCAAGTAGCTATACGCTATTAGCACAGTGAAGGCAAACTCTCGAGCAGTAGAGATAATAACAGTATTACAAGTAATAGAAAAGATTAGCAATGGAAGATTTTATTATTAATTGTCATTAAAAAGTAAGCAAGTACAGTGTATGGAATGCTTGTACATGGAATAAATTATTGTGTGCTAAGAGGTCTGATTTCCAGCTTCTTTTCCAATTGACTGACATCATAAAAAACAGTCAACTGAATGTTTAGTTCAGATCGAACTTTTACTGCCGTCTCTAGGCAGAAGGGGGCATTGAAACTAGTTGAAATATTAAAAAATCAGAATGTTCCACCTAAAAAATGTTTGTAGTTTTACTGCAACAATTAAAATGTATCTTATCGTAAAGACAATTTTATTTGTGTGCTTACTCAACTACATTCAAGCAAACAGAATGTAGGATCTCTGGCACATGGTTTCAAGTTATCATCACCTCACATAAGGGTAGCAAGATGAAATTGTTAGAGTGAATCCCAACTTATTTTTGTCTGATAGTAGACTATTTTTTTTCACTCATGCAGTGCATAGTTAAAATCTATTCAAAATTTTTAAATCAAACGTATGCTAGTTGATGATCAAATTTCTGAAATAAAAAGTACATATACCTTTGTGAAAGGATTTTTTATGTGCAACAATATTTTAGACCATTAATTTGCACGTAGACATATACGTATTTCACAAATGAGAGACTATCAATTGATCTGTCGACTTATGTTCACGTTAAAGTCACTGAATAAAGAAGCACAGCTACCACTACAGAACGGAAAAACGAACGATCAGCACAGAATTTAAGAAATAATTATATATAAATCATGTGTGCGCACTACAATACAAGTAAACAGAAACATGTTTTACAATAGTATCATTAAATCTTGACACAAAAAGATAACATGATTTCGGTAGATCAGTACTCTGTTTGTATGAGATGTGTTAATAATAGTTAATGGACCAAATAATGATTACAATATGTTGAATAAGTTTTTAGTCAAATAACAATGCTCTTACTTAGGATTATCAAGCTATATTAGGAGTCTATTGATTGCCATTATAAACAGTGGGTGAACTTTTGCAGTTGAAGTAAATTACATCCCAGTATTGCTTAATGTCTTAATTATGAAGCAGTAAGTTTACCGCGAGAATTTCACAGAATTTCACTCTACCAGCTTTACGTTTTATTCCATTTTAAGGAAGAAAATGAAACTGTTCACTACTGCTTGATTTTTAACCAATATTGGCTTTTTTTGTCAAAAAAAAGTCGATTTATTAGTTTATTAATTATCATCAATTGAATTATTGTTATTTATTTCTTTTTTAATCAAGTCATTGTATGAATGATTCCCAGTCGACATTACCAGCTGTACTTGTTCAAGATGAATGGGATATCGATTGGCATGTATTTTTGAATGAATTAATTTGGTCTAGTTTGTGTAGCAATGAAGTCTCATCAAATGTTACTTGAAAACAATTCATTAACATGTGTATACGCATACTGATGATAACATTATTTATCAAAAAAATTCTCTTGTAGTTGGTTTTTTTTTCTTTTTCATTTCATTAGTATGATAACCTAATCTATTTTGGACTGTCATTCCAAACTGACACAATGTTCAAATAAGTATATGTGTGTTATTGATTTCACCTTTCGGGGTATCAAACAATTTCTGTGTTCATTTTTAAATTGTTTTTTTTTTTTGAACTAGTCATTCAGAAGTAAAACAGTTTGTTATATCGAATAATTGTACATGTAGTTGATTAATCTATCAAGATTTGTATACAGAGATGTATATGTATATATATATCTATACATATATATATATATATTTTTCAAAGTATTTACAAGATTTCTTTATCTTAGTCAATAAAAGGAAAAGAAACGTATAACCTTACTAGACATTAACACCGTTAAATACTGGCTTAGTGGTCCAGAGGTTAGGCGTTCTCGCGCAACACCGAATGTCCCGGGTTCGAATCCCGCGAGGTGCAGAAGTCGTGGATGCGCACTGCTGATGAGTTCCATACCAAGACGAAACAGCCGTCCAATGCTTCCAGGTTTTAATAGTGGTCTAACAATGATTGATTGATGATTTCAATGTGTAAAAGCACTAATCTCCATAACTCAAATTGAAAATAATTATCACTTTTTAGTGATATCCCAATAAATAGAAATTTGTACATCTAATGTTTCGTGACTTAATATAAACAAATAATTGCAATACATAAACACAGGTTTAAATATTAAAAAGGAAACAAAGAAGTGGTTTTTTTTAGTACAATGAAAGTCATAATTGGGTTGAACATATCACATTTCGGTTAAGGTGATTTTGTTATGTGACCTCAAGGTATGCATGAGGGTCAATAAGAAAAATGTAATTTGTGAGATGAAGTAATGGAGTTATAAACAATATTAAAAAATCTCTGCTCATTTATATATCAGCAAAAATCATAATTAGTTGGTTATTATTGACTTTCTGGCTAATGATCAATTTATTTGAAACCATCAAGTCAAACCTTGACATTAATATCTTTAACTTTATTAATAATATTAACGCTAAACAATGGTTACTATATCTTCTGTTTATTATTATTTTATTCATTGTTTGTAATGACCACTAGCAGGCATCTGTACCTGTTTTCTTTACTTTATCAGTAAACCTGTTGTTCACACCTTTCAATTCCTATATTGTTCTATTCTGTTTAGCCAATCTTGATTTAATTAAAAAACATAAAAGAAACACCATGATTAGTGTTATGTGTGTTTATGACATTCTCTGAAGATATTAATAATAAAATTGAAGTACGGTTTCGGTGCAGAGAAAATATTATTACTTATTTCTTTGCATTATAATATATGAGTATATACACACTGTGCTCGATCATTTTCTGTTAAGATTGATTTCCTAGTTTGTTTTTTTTCACCTACCGTGTTCCATTTATATACAGTATGTTTCGCGTTGTATTGCGCAGTGCAATGGAAGGCAATGTACAGTCCACTGTGTAAATCGTGCATTAAGATAATGCTTCTGACCTGTTTTTAGTATATTGCTGATGGCCAAATTTGAGAGTGGTGGGATTTAATAATTGTATTTAAACCCCACTATTGGTGTAGAACAGTCGAGATGGTTTCATAAGGTTACTGTCTGCGGAATGTTATTGTACAGGACCTTCGATATGATATCAGACCTCCTAGACATACCATTTTGATAGGGGATCTCTAAGCAGTTCTGTTCAACCAACCAAAGACCTCTCTACCGTCAAAAAAGTATTCGGAGTGCTCAGGTATCTGAGAGGGAGTAATGATTCAGTCGTTGTATCTAAAACCTGAACAGGAATTGGAATTATGAGGGCTATCTACCCGACAGTATAATCTGCAAGACAGCAGAACTACAAATGTGATTTCGTGTTAATTGTTGACCAGAGTATTCTCACATGTTGCTAGCCTACTCGGATTCTTTAGACCTGTGTATGCTTGTTTGGATATAAGGTGTTTCTACTCTTTTAAGTGGACTCTTCGTATCTACAAACTGGTTTTAAACACCGAACGTGCACTCTCACTTTTGTAGAAATGCTATCATTAGGAATTGCGTGGAAGGTTCTGTAATTACTCAGTTATATGACAGCATATCTATAGAAACGGCTGATTCTTTATGTGCTTCGCTATCGCAGACTTTTTAAACCCGCTTCATACAGAAGATAGTAGGAATAAGGATTCTCACGGAGCAACCTGAAGACACTTATTCATACGAAAGTACTGCTACTGTCAAAACGAAACTTACGTGCCCTTGACCGTACCGAAGCCTTTGAAGATTACGTCATCAATGTATTTGTTCATATTTATCGTGTGATATATTAATTGTATCATGCCTTATAATATCTATTTGGTTGTAGCATATCAAGTTATAACAGGTAACTCACTCACTAATCGAAAATCACAAATACAACGGGATGGATGATTGAAGATATTCAGTTTCACATACGTATTAGTCTTTTTGTGATCCTAGTGGACATTTCTGTTTTACTACTTATTATTAACTGTTACTGGATTAAATTTATGTATATTTGATTTAATGGTTCACATCGCGAACTAATCTCACCTAAACAACCATCAGAAAACAGGATGTTGTCTATACGCTATGTCGGACCACGACTACTACAAAAAAGTCAACTTTATTATGTGACTATCTATAATAGTTTGTTGGTGGTTGTTATTCAGAAACATATTGTCCGAATATTTTAAGAAAAACGCCAGCTTTCAAAAATAATTAGCATAACTCTAAAGTTCGGACTATGTATCTTGAAAAAGGATCCCATATTGCACATGTATCTTCATCTTATAAAATTGTAGTAGGTAATTACTATACGTTCATTTCCCTAGAAAGGCTTACATAATGCATTACTAGCCACTGGAGAAGTCCACCAGTGATTACATCAAAAATGTGCAAAACTATATAAATCTTAAAACCAACAAAAATGATCTAGAGAATGGTCTTATGTATTTACAAATGAAAAGATAATGAACTTTCTGAGTGTATATTTTTGTCTTGCATGGCACAAACCTACACCAGTACACCGTACGAAGAATGAAGAAATTACATACTAGTATTTTTGATATCCAACTAAAAGGTTGAAAACCTAGGCCACACCAAAGCTGGTTTTTGCAGTCACTCATTTTTTGCAGTTTGACTAAATAATTTTGTGCTACTTAAGAGACGAATGCCAACACAGTCAGTCAACAACAACATAGAACTTCGTACGTACGAACATCAGTCCAAGTTGCCAAACCACAATTAGCACAAAGATGCAATTGTTACTTCAAATCCTATAGTAGTTCAGGTAGTAAACGTATTAGAAGTAATCGGAGAGTTAAAGGTTCGAAGATATTCAAGTAGGACGACTTACGTCGATTTGCCATTCAGGATGACTGGAGGTCGTGGGCAAACGAAGTGTGGCTGGAGGCCGGTTGAACTGATCCCTGAAGTGTTCTGCCCATTGATCCAATCTCCTGGATTGAGAACAAATCATAAGACCATCCTTTTCCGAGATAGTTTCACTCACATTCGGGTTCCTAATACCGATTTCCTTGATGAGTCTGAATAGTTGCCTACTGTAGCCTATCGCCGTCGCCTTTTCTATCTCCCTTGCTTTCGATACGCACCACTGTTCTCAATCATTGCGAAGGCTTTTTATCAGCCTGCCCCTAAGCTGACTCTACTCCTCATCGTGCTCAGAGCCAAACGGGATGAATTATCGAGCATCCATCTGTTCGGTAGATGCTACTGAAATCCGTGGCTTCTCTCTAACCTTATAGTTTATCTTACTAGCAGATATCACTGCTGTTTCCGCAGCCTTTTTGGATACCATTCCAAGCTGTCTTGGGAAGGGCATTACATACTACATGGCTGCCTAACTGTTTTTCCAGTTGTTCCTGAAATATATTCTTAGCTTTATAATCATTTAGTAGAGCCCTAAGAGGTTTCCTTGCGATATTTTTCCTACGTCGTGAGACGCGAATAAATACGCACTCGCACTAGAGCATGGTCTGAATCTAACCAAGTGCTTCAGAATGAGCGGCAGTCTTCAGTAGAGCCTCTCCGTCGTCTGCGTTGGGGGTCGCCAGGTCAAAAGGTGTTTCCCTTGTGCTTAAAGTTAGTGCTTGCTAGGAATAGGCGGTTATCTGAGCATATTTGCAACAGACGGTTGCCATTGTCTGTTCTCTGAGCCACGACACCATAAGACCCACCCAGGTGTCTTCCCTTTTCATTTAGTCTCCCTACTAGAGCATTTAAGTCACCAGCCATTATTACTATATCAAAGTACCTAACTTTTTGGAGGAGGTCCGGAAGCTTTCTGTTAAACTCATCTTGTCTTAACTGTAGTCAGTGGGAGCGTAGGCGGAGACAACGAAGCGGCAACGACGAGTGTCCCTATCCTTCCGAGTCCTTACTGTACCGTTTAGTCGGACAGCGCATAATCGACTATCTACTGGAACCCAGTCTAGGAGAGATACCTCTGCCCTACGACTCAATGCCATACCTACACCAGCGAGGCCCCGCGAAAAAACATCAGGGCTTCCAGATAAACGAAGAATAAATCGAAATGCTTCTTTATCTTTACACGGTGAGGTCAAATGAACGACGCTACATGGATCCTGTAAGAGCGTTTCCGAGACGTAGCATACATCGATCGCGCGAGATTCCAAAGTCCTAGCTAATGAAGCCTGTTGCTCTGTTTGGCACAAAGTTTGAACAATAAAAGCTCCAATATGTAATTTAGTATGGAATTTCGGGAGACTAGGAATAATGTTTCGTTAGCTCAAATCGTTTGCTTCAGAGGCGCGAGGTGACAAAGGACCGAAGGAAGGGTTGGTCGAGGAGGTTTAGAAAGGATTTGATTGTGACTAATTTGGTCCCTCCTAGCGAATGTAACTTCCCGACTGCCCACACCACGGAAGGGTTCTGGTTGTCAGAAGGGCATCGGCCTCACGACTTCCGAAGGAACTCGGCTTTTATCATGAGACGTCATAATTCTTCTAAATGAAGATATTCTAGCTCCCAGATTAGAGTTTATATGGTTGGAGTTATTTTTTCTTGTTAGCGTTTTTTTTGCAAGTATGTTTTTTTCCAGGATGAGGTGGCCAACCCACATCTGAACCCTCCTCCTTTATCCAGGCTTGGGACCGGCAGTAGCCGGAAGGGTCTACAGGCAGAGTTAATGCCAACCCAGCATAAGTAACGAAGGTCTAGGAGGTAGTGGTAAGGTATGTTTAAGAGCAGCCACATCAGTTAATATTAACTACTGGGGTTACCGCCGGTCACAATTCCGGATAACCGAGTAG